TGTTCTTCATGTATCTCAATTAAGTATGAAAGTTATTAAAAGTTTTTGTGTATTTAAAATAAATAAAGTTGGGAGAGACTAATTTAATAAAGATAGATAATGACATATTTATTTTGTTGAATTACTAAAATGAGTTCAGAAATCTTCTTTTGATTTAAATAATTTAATTGTTAAGTAATCTTCTTTTATTGATTAACTTTTAATAAAATTATCTTCTTCTTTTATTATAAATCTAAAATAATATTAATTAACTTCACAGAGTAATGACGAAAGATTAATTATATTATTATAGATGACGTTACTTGTTATAGATGAGAGATCTTTTAAATAATAAAGAATACAAATAAGAAAGAAAAGAGTAATTAATGCTTGACTAAAAATCTCTAATTCAAGACTTATAATATGACTCACTTCTAAAAGATTTTGTCAAAGGAAATTAAAAGGTAAGAAAATTAAATCTAAAAAGATTCAAAGATTATAATCTATAAAAAGATTATAAATCTATATGAAGATTCTTTTTCTAAAATAAGATATATGTTATATTTATATAAGTTATTGTTACTCAATTTTCAAATATTAAAGTTACTTTTGATTGATATTAAGATTACAAAAAGCACTCACTTGATAGTTGTGCATTACTTGCTCACTTAATAATTGTATATCACTCACTCTAATATTACATAAATTTCACTATTAATATTAATCAAATTTGATCATGTAAATTAATTAACATGTATTTTTCATACTAATAATAATAATATAATTAGTATAAATTATAAATAATATGAAATGAAATAATATAAAAATAGAATAAAATAGAATGAAATAATATAAATATAGAATGAAATAGTATAAAAATAGAATAAAATAGTATAATAATAGTATGAAATATAATAAAAATAGAATGAAATATTATAAAAATAGTATGAAATAAATATGAATAATATAAAATAAATATGAATATAATTTACAAATCAATTATTCAATTAAAATAAATAATAAAAAGTTATGTGATATGCTAAAATTCATATCACAACAGTATAAATAGCATTATCTAAAGTAGTTGATTGAGTTAAACTAATAAAGAATTTTATTTCTGGCTTTAATTCTTTAATAAACATCATTATTTTCAGATGTTCTGGCTATTCATTATCTGGATCAATATGGCAAAGTAATTTTCTTACAGTGACAGAATATTGTTTTACTATTTTAGTTAGTAATTATTTTCATTAATTTAATTGTTATTGCCATTCATATACCTTGTTAATAGTTCTAAATTTTTGTTTAAATTAATAGTGAAGAAAGCTGCTAAATCTTTTAGATTGGTAGAATCATTTAAATTTCATTGGATTGATCAATCTGCTACTAAGATTCTTTTACTAACTAATCATGTTCCAGCAAATTCTTTCAAATATGCATCAGTAATTTGTCACTTTCTAAAATTAAATATATTATTAACTCAACTTGCATTTTCAAAGTCTTGAAATTATCTAATAGGATCTTGAGTATTACTATAGAAGTTAATAATTTTTGCAAATTTTGCTTCTCCTCTTTCTTGATTATTACTAATAATAATTATTAATTAATTAAGATTATTAATTAAATTATTAAATTGAGTGTTATCTACTGCTATTTTTTTCTTGTTCTTTTTCATTATTTTCTTCTGGTATTGGCAAGATGAATTATCATGAATTAATATTTGATTTTCTAAATTTTGTAAATTAATTAATTCTTTTCAAAGTTTTTGTTGTTTATGATAAGTTATTCTTTGTACAAGAAAATCTGTAACTTCTTGTTAAAGATTATATAAATATATTTGAATTTCTTGTTCATTTTGTTAAAAATATTGTTCTAGTATATCTTCAAGTTGATTTACTAATTTAGCATTTATATTTCCCATATAGATTGTATTAAAATATTTACAAATTGATCTTTAATTGCTTTAAGTTATATTCTAATAAGATTTTCTTTCAAATCAACTTTATCTTTTAAAGTTTCAAATTGTCTATTGATTTAATGGTAGTGAATTTTGTTGAATTCAGTTTGATTTAATAGTTGTTCATCCACAGAGAATTCTTTTTGTAGGTATTTGATCAAAAATTCTTTTATTCCTTGAAGAAATCTTTCTTTCTTATATACTGCAATTATAATTCGCAAAGAAATTCTATTTTTTAATCTTACAAATTTAATATTCTTTTACTTAGTATTCTTTTATAATGATGCTTTATAACACTTTTGAGATTTTGATCCACAGAGAATTCTTTTAATAATTATTCTTTTATAATAGAACTTTATAATATTTCAAAATTTTTATTCTCACAATGAATTTAATAATTGTTCCAATGATGCTTTCAAAATAATATTTTTGAGATTTTGATTCACAGAGGGAGCACAAAAATTTTATTACTGTTTTAATAAGACTTTAAAATACTCAAGAGTATTTATAATATTCAAAGAGGAAACTCAAATGTCTTAATGATAATTCACAATTTTAATAATACTTTATGATTTTAGATTGAATATAAGTTAAAGTATAATAAGTATATATAAGAATCACTTAAAGATTGGTAATAGTTATATTATTTTAATATAATAATTGGATTGCTAAAGAGAGTCTTCAAAATCTCAAAGACAAAGTTATAGAAATTATAATATTCATATTATTAGTAATATGAGATCAAAGATAAATAATATATTATTAGCAATACAAAATCAAAGGTAAGTTTATAAGCAATATATTATTAGCAATACAATCTCAAAAATAAATTTATAAATTATAATAATAATTCTTTTATTTAATATAATATTCAATAAGTTTTATTATAAATATGTTCAGATAATTTAGTATTAAGATGATAACTTTTATAGTATTCCTAACAATCTTGCTTAAGTAACTATAATATTAATTTAAGATCTATATAACACTTATGATAACAGTGCTAAAGTGATTATACAAGAAACAAAAATACTTTGTCAAAGAGGTATAGAGAGGAGTTTGTGCTTAACTATCTACTCTATATAAAGTGCAAACTTTATTTCTTTGAATGATTAAAACTATATAATAACTAATTAAATATAATAATTAAGAATTATTATTTAAAAGAACTTGTTCATATCTAATTCTAATAATTATGATACATGTTACTTTTATACATGTTCAAATTATATTTTATCAGCTATATGAATTCATGTTCACTAATTTCATTAGTTTAGTGTTCACTTATTTGTTCACTCATTCATTCATTTATTTATTTAGTTATTTATTTGTTCATTCATTTGTTTACTCATTCACTTATTTGTTTACTTGTTTGCTTACTTCACGTTATTTGACTTTTATTCAATAAGATATAAAATATATATAATCCAATAATATAAAATATTATAATGAAAGGTCATTATACAATAATATTACTATAAAAAATAAAAAAAGTTTACAAACTCCAATTGTCAATTAGGTTCAATCAAAACAACGAATTAAACTATTAACAAAAAAGAATAATAATTCCAATATATTAAATATTTGTCAATATACAATAATATTAAATATATTTGTGATATTTATTTATTAACAAAGATTTGAATCTTTAAAATTTTAAATCTTGATAAATTTTGGACCAATTTTTGTAAATTTGTTATAGAAAAAAGTTCTTCAATATAAGAAATTTATTAATTAAAATTTTTGATTTAAATTATTCAGTTTTACAAAATTAACTAAAATAATTTGTTGTCAAAATCTATTTAAAAAATGTTAAAGTTCTTGTAATTCAAAATAAGTACTTTTTTATTTTGTTTGGAATGATATTGGTAAAGATAAAAATTTATAAAGTTTTAATCACGTGTTTTATTTCTTGTATATGTACTATATATGTTAATCTGATAATTTATTTTTCTTTGCTTAGTTCTATTATTCACTATCTATATTGATTTTTTAGAAAGCAACTTGCAAAGACTAGTTAGCTGTAAAAACACAATAAAGGTAAATATAAAATGGCTTTCTTTTATAGTTAAACATAGTTTTCAAACTGAATTATTTCAACAAAGCATGCTCTTATACAGTCAAAGCTCAATATAATAATATGGTCGGAACAATTAGTAAAAATTCTGCAGATATCATTATACCCAGTATTGTACATTTTCTATGCTCCAAGCATTTTTGAAATTGTCCCTACTAAGTTTTGTCTAAGTTCAAACTGTTCCAACTATATCCCGACTATGTCCCATGACAATACTGGTTATTCCGAAGGAAATTTTATTAGTGGGTTGTCATCGTTACATGAAATTTTAATTGGTCATCGTTATATCGAACTTTGACTATTGATATGTCTAATAATCCTGCGAAGAAAAATTATTAACTTTATTTCTCTTGAATCTATTTTTCTTTTGGTTAGACAGCTACTATTATATATTATTACATGTATGGTGCATAACATCTAAAGTCATCAAACGTTTGTGTTTTATATAATGTATAAACAACTTTACTAAGAAGTAAATACAAAATTTAATCCGTGAATATTCTCAGAAAGAGTCTATTCTATCATATTCACGGATTAAATTTTGCATTTACTTCTTTGTAAAGAAGTTTATACATTTTGTAAAATACAAACGTTTGATGACTTTAGATGTTATGAGTTCTATTATTGCTTTTTTAATTGCAAGTGAAATATCTATGAAATATTAAAGATTCGCACAAAACCAGATTTTATTTATTATCGAAGCTGATTCGCGACTTAAAAATAAAAACATCGTTATTCTTCCTGTTTGTTGATAATCAATATGATTTTAAAATACAAAAAATATAAAATATGATTTAATGAAAGAAGGAAGTAGATTAAAATTCAACGGTGCTTTGCCCGCTGATTCCAGCAGCAGGCTGGATAATAATATGAAATAATAAAATGAAATAAATATATTTATAATGAAATATCAAAATGGCCTGTTATCAAATAAATATGATAATGCTGACAAAATGCAAAAACGTTATGCTAGAAATACACATTCATTTAAACAAGTGTTTCGGTTTCAGAAACTTTACGATCTATTGCTTTTGCTGATGTTTTCTTGCCAGTAACATAATTCGTGGTACAATCTTCACACCAAGTTTTCGGCAACCATCCATGTCGTGCACCGAAATATATCGATTCGCACGCGATACAGAAATCAAAAATAGCAGCAAAAGACGCTGCCGTAAATAATACTCCCCAAAATATGAATGAGACCACATGGTAGTTTAAAAACCAAAATAGTGTGCCAAATAACGAGAAGAATAGACCGCAGATTTGAGCGAAATGTTTCGGTACTGATGGCACGTATTTTGAACGAATAATTGGTAAGATATCTTCGAATAATGGCCGCAGGACAAAGATAACAATGAAAGCTTGAGGATCTAGTCTTGGACCAGCGATCACTCTTGCAAAGAAACCATAAAGTATGTAAAAATATAAATAGGGAAAATTACAAAAAATTGCTAGAGCAGTCGCCGCTGGGACTAGAAAGGATGTACAGAAGTTGTGTAACCTTGATTCTGCTTCATTCACTGGACTTGGGAATGTGAAAAATTGCTTTAGACTTGGCATATTAATACACCATAACGCAATATTACGCGATAAAATCAAGTTTTTACGTAAATGCACGTAATTAATAAATTTAGGATAGACATCCGCAAGTAATAGTAGTTGTGTCTCGTTTTGCGTTTCGTCAAATATTGTTGGGTCCTGAAAATAAAAGTTTAACTTTAATTATAATTATGACTAAAAAAAACATATATGTATATGTATATAATTACCGCAGTTTTTATTCCTTCCAAAAGTCTCTTATGTACTCGTTTCCGCATTACAGAAGAAAGATTTATTTCTTTGACACCTTGCTCTGATATATAAGTCTCATAAATATATCTTGCTTGTGCTTCATGTGCCACTGGATCAATGATTCGAAACTTTTCAACATCACACCTTGAAAATATTAAATAATATTAGTTTTTTCACATCATAATAATCGCCTTAGCATAATTATAATAATACTTACCAGAAATCAATTAGTTCGACACACATTTTTCCTTCAGCAAAAACACGAAAAGATGCCAAGTCAAAAGGCGGACTATTTTTACCCCTTAGAACGTCTTGTAACGAAGCAACTTCCCCTACTACGACAGCTTTCTGAAGTGAGTATCGATGTGGATTCCAGGATTTCATTGAAGGCTGCAATAAATGTTGCTGTATTTGACAGTTGCTGTCTGAAGAATTGCACGCGCAAGCTTGTAGACTTGCGCTCGATTTTAAATTAGGACTGTAAGTTGGTGCCTCCTGAGGCATATTGACTTTTGTTTCTTGTGACATTCTTTGATGTTGTTAAAAGGGTTTAGCAATCTTCGTAATGCTGTAATAGTTTTTTTTTTTGACTTTTTCGCTTGTTGATTGATAGTTTATTAATTAGTTATAGGTATAGAACGACAATAATTGTATGTTATTGTTTATCCAAGAGAAAAATTAGCTTCCAGAAAACAAAAATACACCGATATTCCTGGGTCTCTTGTTTTTTAATTGGTTAAAATAAAAAGATTGAAGTGTGAGTAAAGTTGATGCTGTTTTGTAGCAGTTGTTGTTGATAACTTTAAAAAGAGGGGAAGGGAAGCCCTTCGCCGAGCGAGGGACACATTAAAAATCAAAGAGCAACCGAAATAAATTCACAAAAAAAAGAAAAACAATAAACTTAATTCTTTAAACTTCTCTTCCATTTATCACAAAAACGGACACACACACACGCACAACAACACATCAAGTATTTAATTAATTGAATGCTCATGAAAATAAATAGCAATAAAATGTAACACGTATTTCACACAACATAGAGTTTAAGCGCAAACATAGTTATGAACGCGTTCTGATCGTTTTTTGACGAATCAAAATAATCAAACATCAGAGATGCGCATTTCACAGATAACAAAGGCTAATAATTGGTGTGATTTTGGTGTAATTTTCTAACCAAATACAATTATAAATTATTTCGTTTCTTAAATCGAATGCATTTACGAACTAATAAATATGTCCATTCTAAAAAACTATTAATAAATTCTTTTCGACCTTCTCACTTTCTATTTTTTACATAATTATTAACCTTTATTATATATAATTAAACAGAACCGTTTAAAAATTGAATAAGCTCATAACTTTAGTCTCTTTCTTTTTCTCTTACCTCTAGAAAGTAGTACCAATGGAAAGGCTATTTGATAAGATAAATAAAATTAACGCTAGCAATCGAATACTCGATGATTAGAGAAATGAATTTTTTCGAACGTGTCAAAGAACTATGTACGGTAATAATATCACAAATTAATTGCGTTCAATTAATGTAAAGCATGTTACTCCACATTAGAATTTGTAGAACAATGAAAAACGCTGGTATTCTTTAGAATTTGATACAAAGATTACAAAGATTTACTGCATTCATTAATTATTTGTTATTGTAACAGTAATATCATAGAGCACATCCCCCTCTATTTTTATTTTACTAACTTTTTGCATGGAATGTAAAATACCTGGGTACTATATGCAGATAAGATTACGCGATCGTTGTTTGTTGAGCACAACAACAATAATAATGTATTTATTTACTACATAACTCCCTTTAATATTGTTGAAAAAATTATACAAAAATTTATAATATTTGTATATTTAAATTTTAAGATTGGATTGAGTGTTTAAGTTGTTATTAACATTACATTACAATGGCAAAAGTTTCCTTTCCTATTGTTGTAATATGATGATGATGATGATGATGAATTATTTACAAAAGTTACAATCTCTTCCAATGATGTTTCAATTCAACAAGTTCTAAATTGAAGATTTGAACCACATTAATTTCTAATATCGATATAATATATTAACCCTATTGGACAACTTGGTGTTTTTCTTTGATCTAGTTTCTCTTTTATCTAGTTTCTCTTTTATTAATTAATTCGTTAAAGAACTGTGCCAGGATTTGTTGATCTCAGAAAATTCTACTGTAATATTAATATTAGTAAGTTGATTTTAGGATTAGGATTAGGTTAGGGTTTAGGGTTGGAATATAATTTATATAAAATTGTCTCAACGTTTTTAATTAGTATTTTTCTCGCATTTCTTGTATTTTTCTTGTGTCGGATTTGTTTTGCCGGTTTGATCAAGAATTTTTGGATGCTGGTTTATGATCGACAAAACCTGCCAATAAAATTGGTATTTACTAATTTCACCCTCAAGTTCTAATTGGATGCAAGTAATTTCTATCGCTGATTGGTTGACTGCACATCAGATTTTCTATATTAAAAATGCGAATAATGTGAAAATAAATATTTAAATTTGGCTTGAAGCACTAATCAAAAATGTCAGTAAGATAATTTTACATAATTTTATTCTTGATTCTAATCCTAACTCTAATACTAAAATATTCTTAACAAATTAGAACTTGAATGAACATTAGTAAAATTATATAATATATTAATTCCAGTAATATATTATTACTGGACTCAATTTTTTATTACTGGATAAAAAATCTAATATTTTATAATATTTAATAATATTTAATAGCTAACAATAATATATAATTAAATAATTCAGTAAATGTTACTAAAATAAAATTATATATATAATAAATATATTAATATTCAATAGGATTATTACTGAACTTTTTAATTAGTTTTTTTTATTAAATATATATAATAGTAAATTATATATCTGTATATATAAAAATAACTTGATAATATATAAATGATCCCAAAAAATATAGATTCACAAATGATATTATTAATAAAAAAAATTACAAATAAATATAATATATACAAAGTTTATAATAAAATTCTTAATTAAAAAAATTCTAAAGATTCAATTATCAATAAAAAAATATTATTTTAATATTATATTTTTGAATTAAAGTAATTATTAATTTTATAATATTTTATTAATACTAAAATATATATAAAGTGAAGTTAATAAATAAAAAAAATAAATTAATAAATTTATAATTTTCTGATAATTAAATTTTTAATTCTAGTTATTATTAATTACTCTATATAAAATAAAGAAATATAGTTAACCTCTCTATAATCACATCTTTTTATAATTATCCTATTTTATTTTTATATTTATATATAAATATAAATATAATAAAAAAATCTCTTTATAGTTATATTTTCTCTATAATTATCAAATTTGCTTTTCTAAAAGTGATACTATAGAAGAATTTGACTATAATTTAAATAAAATAATCTTGATAAATTATATAATATCCAATTAATTGACTTAATATATATAATCTATATTTATAATATATTTAATAATTGGTTAAACTTTATATAATATTATCACTATTATAATTAAAAATTTTATAATTTTTATAATTTTTATGATTTTCATAATTTTTTTAATTTTTATAATTTTTATAATTTTTTAAAACTTTAAAACTTTAAAAATATCATAAACTTTATATTCTTTATAATTTTTATATATTAATTAATTTTTAATATTATTATTTTTATAATTTTTATATAATTTATTATTAATATAATATTTATTAGTGAAAATATTTATTATAAATAAAGCAACATTGAAATTTTGAAAAAAATATCAATTAATTACTACAAAAATTTAGCTAATCAATAAACTATTTATTATTTATTATTAATAAAATTTGTATTTTAATTGATTTTAAAATAATAATAATCTTATATTAATTACTTGCATTTATTGAACAAATTGCCAAGTTGTTATAAAATATTAGTATTATATTATATTATTATAAAAATATCTCATACTAAGTAAATATAAATAATAATAAGAGTCTATTTAACAGAAAATGTATTATGTGATAATTCTAAGTATACTGATTATGATGAAATTGAGTAACTATAAAATTATCATTATTAAATATTGGTTGAATATCTATATTATAATAACACTTATTAAGAATTTGATTATAATATTACTATTAAAATAAAAATCAATATCTTGATTTATATCAATAAAAAGAAGTATTAAAATATTTACTAACAATATTATTGACATAAAGCAAATTGAAAACTAATTGCAATTTGAAGAAATTTGTAATATTAACAAAATGAAAATAATAATTAAATTTACTTTTAACAACTAATAATTTATATAACTGGTATTATAATCCAGAATTATTAATTTTTTAATTCTAATTATATAAGAAAACATAAATTGCAAAGATAGCAGAGTTCTCAGACATGTTAATATTATTTGCTATATCATATTTATTTAATATATATAATATATTTTATATTATAATAACTTAATTATAAAAATATTTTATATAAATAAAAAATCTTTTGAATAAATCAAAAGATATTAATTAATTAATACAAAATTTAGCTAGTCAATAAATTGTTCTTGTTTAATAAAATTTGTATATTAATTGATTAAATAATAATAATATTATATTAATAACTTATATTTATTATACATTATTAAATAATTGCTAAGTTATTATAGAATATTAATATTGTATTACTATAAACCTATCTCATACTAAGTAAATATAATATCTATTAGTAATAGTAAAAGTTTATCTAATAAATAAAAGAAAATATACTATGTAATAATTCTAAAATATAATGCTTATCAGAAGTAATGGACTTCTTATAACTTTTTATAGATCATGTATAATTTTCTGAGTATAAAAAATATTATAAATATTAATTATGATATCTTTATATATTAATAAAGCTTTTATATTGGATATTATATATTTATAAACTTTCATATTCCAAATACAATAATTGATTATTTTATAATACAATCAAATCTCTCTATAGTCACCACTCTTGAAAAAGCAAAATTTGGTAACTATAAAGAGAATGTGACTATAGAGGAGTTTTTTTTACTATATTTATATGTAATAGAAAAGCAAAATAGAGTGATTATAGAGGGATGTAACTATAAATAGGTGTGACTATAGAGAGGTTTGATTGTATAATATTTCAATATTTAAATATTTGATTTGAGCAAAAATATTACTATTTAATTTTTCTAGATTAGACAAATCAAATAATAATATTTTTGCTCAAATTAAATCTCTAAACATTAAAATATCATATTCTATAGTGATCAATTCATATTTATTAATTGATTTTTTATTATAAATTAATTAAATTGATCAATTTAAAATATAATATCTTAATTACTAGTGATTTGATTCAAAAAAATAATATATATCATTTGATTTAGTTAGTTAAGATGAATCAAATAGTTATATATTTGTTTAAATCAGATTGAGATATCACATTCTAAATTAATTAATTCATTTTTATTAGTATTAAAAAAATAAATCTGCTACTTTAGAA